GTGTGTGTGTGCGCTCGTGTGGGGGGGGGGGGGGCGACCCTGCCCCCACCAATCAATCAATCAATCAATCAATCAACGATTTTTTTTTATTTATTTTTTTCACTCACTGCCACCTCCCCCCCCCCCAAATATTGTTTGTTTTTTGTTTTTTTTTGCTTGAGGGGATGGGGTTGGGGATGCGCCGCCCCATGCCACCACTCAAATTTTTTGTGCCCCTCCCCAGCGGCAGCCATGCGTCCGCGAAGTCGCGTTGTGGGGAAACACGGGGAGGGGTACCTGCTGTTCGCTGAAGCCAGGGGGTACAAGGCCTGTCACTTCATTGCCCCCACTTCAGAGGTCCTCAGTGGCCAACAGGAACTTTTAGAAGCAGCAGACTCCCTACAGAGCTTAGTTTGCTGCCCCGGTCATGATCGAGAATTTCAGAGAGTTCTAATAGCGAAATTTGGATACCTCTTTCAAAGTCCACAACGAGGAAAACCATGAACATGCGTTAGTACATTAATCATGCTCTGTTCTTGCATTCGATCTCTCTATCTCTTCTCACGATACCATGTTCGTAAGCAGCCCTCCACCAATAGTCCTTCAGCAAGTAGTAAGGTAGAGATCTTTTTACTTCGTACGTTACCCGAATTCAACTTGACGACTCTCCTCTCGACTCAACTTACAAAGGCAGGGGGGGTTGATAGGAAAAGAAATGTACGTTCATTCTCAGTCCTTCGTTTGCCCGGACTCCAGCCTGTACAGAAGAGAGACAGACAAGTAACTGCCAATCAAGAGTTGAGGAGCGAGGAGATGTAATACAGAATGCCGCTCAGGTCTGCTTTCGGGCTCACGTCGAATGCCGCTCAGGTCCGGTTTCGGGCTCATGTCAAAAATGTCGCACAACACTCCCTTCTCTCACAGTCAAATAAAAGCAAAACACAAGAACAGACTGGAGAACGTTACTCGTTCACAGGGATGATGAGATAGACCGGGACCACAGGAGTCGCGAGACGTATGGGCGTGCTAGGAGACTGGATGACTACTCGCGTAGCCCTCGCTATGAGCCTGACGGGGGTAGAGGCAACTCTCGAGGCCGGTGGGAGCCGGACCAGGGCCAGCGAGACGGATACAGGGATGGCAGATATGCGAGATCGGGCCGAGATGGACATAGGGACGACAGATATGAGAGATCGGACCGAGATGGACATAGAGACGACAGATATGAGAGGACGGATCGAGACGGATACAGGGGCGACAGATATGAGAGAGGGGATCGACCCGATGATTCACGCGAGTGGTACGACCGAAGAGACCGACGTGATGATTCACGCGGGCGGTACCACCGAGGAGACCGACGTGATGATTCACGCGGGCGATACGATCGAGGAGACCGACGTGATGATCCACGCGGGCGATACGAACACGGAGATCGCCACAATGATTCGCGCGGCAGGAATTAGAGAGGGGGATATGACGCTTCTGCAGGACCGTATCCGAAGTCCCCTGACCCCAGAGCAGTGAGAGGTTCGACCTCCAGAGGCGCAGACGACAGGCCACTCACTCCTGGGAACTCTTGCGTCTACTGTAGAGGAGATGATCATATCAAGAGAGATTGTCCGGACCTCCAACGGGCAATAGATGAGGGACTTGTCGTGCTTGACGACCGCAAGTACGTCAAGTGGGCAGATGATCTGGGAGATGTATCGATGTTCCCTTCGATGAAGGAGAACGTCGAAGCAAGGAGAGTAAAGCCGAGTAGAGGAAATTGGTCGGTCAAGAGCCAGAGCATCAAGATAACTTTTGAGGGGGATATGGCGACCACACCCATAAGGGTGGCAGCCACCAAGTCGGCGAGAGGGTCTACATCGAAAAACACTGACACGGATTACGTGATGGTGGAGAAGGACAGACAACGGATCGATGGAGAGGAGGTTATTCTTTCGTCGCAGAAGCGGGGAGTGAAGAAGTTCTTGATGAAGAGTTCGCTGGACGAGATTGACACGGTCGAGCCACTGAGACGGGCTCTTCGGCAGCCCATGCAGTGCTCTATTCTGGAGTACCTGGCGCCATCGAAGCCGGCTCGCGATGAGTTACAGATGATCACGCGAAAGACTCGCATACCTCTATCAGAGGAGGCTCAGGGGGCTCCTAAGGCGGAAGTTCCTACAGTGGCAGTAACTGGGGTGACTGCCAGAGCAGATCGCATGGCGACAGTCCTTCTTGATGGGATGGAAGGTGTGCCTCCAGACAAGTTTTACACACTTGGTAGTGGGGCCGTGGAGACGATGATAAATGACGGAGCTGGACTAGATGTTGTGATCGATAACGGCAGTGAGGATGTCATTATAGACGAGGATCTGGCAGTGCAGGTTGGACTGGGACTCGATAGGTCATACCTATTCGAGATAGAGACGGCTGATGGGAGAAAGCAACAGATCACTGGGGTTTGTCACAAGGCAGCCATAGAGGTCCAAGGGGTACGAGTGACCCTTCCTGTCTTTGCAGTCAAGAATTGCAGCTCCGATCTGCTCTTGGGACGAACGTGGTTGAGCCATGTGCATGCGGTGACGATAGAGAGACCGAACGGGAGCCAGACATTATCCATTAAGAAGCTAGATGGGACGCGGTGTAAGAAAACCCGGGGAGGGGTCCCCTACCGTTCGCTGAAGCCAAGGGCTACAACGCCTGTCACTCGCTGCGCCCGCTTCCGAGGTCCTCAGCGACTAGCAGGGTGTCGGGGTTTGCGATGCTTGTCACGCCCCCACTTTAGCATGAGTGTCTGAACTGACTTTCTGAATAACCAAAATAAATAATAAAATAAATAAAATGAATTGATATGTTCCGGTCAGCAGATCTGAAATCAAGTCCATGTCCGTGTTTAACTCAAGTTTAACCGCACCGGAATGAAATAGATAGCAAAGGTATTTTTATTGAAAAAATGAGCACCAGGGAGAGCAGTACAATAGTGATTAAAATATAGAGCAAATCCAGAATTTTAGATGACCAGAGTTCACATCACATTCGCATCACATTCATCGTTCAAGTCTACCTGATCGGTCAACCAGCAACGAGAGTCTGACTCCCCAATGAGCGCTATAGGACTGCGCTGCTAGTGAACAGCAAGTGTCTGAACTATAGTGGGGAACAATTCTCCCAAGGAGCGGCGAGTGTCTCATCTGCCAATGAGAAGCTCGAAGCTGTTCTGGCAACAGTGGCACGCGACTGATCTGCCAATGAACGGCAAGTGACTGATCTTCTGTAGGGAACATATCTGCCAATGAGCAGTGGGTGTCTGTTCTGCCAATCTTCTGTTGGGAACAGATCTGTCAATGAACAGAGGGTGTCTGATATGCCAACGAGCAGCTCGAAGCTGAYCTGCCAGAAGGTCGCAGGCGACTGATCTGCCAATGACCGAACACCACGAAACTGGTCTGGCAATCAGCATCCCTTCCCGAACACTTGTGCTTGCATCTGTACGAGCATCTTCACGCACCTGGGGCTCAATCATGACCARGTTCTCTTTTGGTGTTCACTCTTTCTCCCGTTTGACCAGTATAGTTGTATAGATCTCCTATTCCCGCTGGTTTTCMCAAGCCARTTCGAACTYTCTTTCTCTCATCAAGGTCGTTCTCTTATATCCCTTAGTTGATCGATGCTTGTCTTGACCAATCAGCAAATCGTAATCTTTTTCCAATCACACAATCATTCCATTTTGAAGATGACAAGGGTTAAGCACTCTCAATCCCTCATTGTCCTGTTCATTGATTTTGAGCAGTCTCGTCAATTACATGGTTCATGCGGACTGCGATTCAACCTTGCTTCTGAAAAAAACAAAAGAATAATTCACGGCAAGTTATGGTCAGTCAATCAACCTCTCTTTCAGGCGAACCAACATCCAGAGGCTGTCATAGCTCTRAGGGTAGTCACACTCGACGCTCTCTTGCTGCCCTTGCCAGGCTCAGAAACCGCTCGAGCATCAAAGAACTGAACGCAAGATCACCCTTCATGATGTGAAAGTGGAGTCAGATTCGAGATCCMAAMGGTCAACTTCCCAATTTAAAATCCCTCTTGAGGGCTGTGAAAACGGATTTTTGATATGTGGCAACAACCCAGAGTAATCGACGTTCATCCATCATCATATCAGATCTCGGTACAAGGAACGACCCACAACAACAGATCTCTCTCTCTCTCTCTCTCTCTCTCTCTCTCTCTCTCTCTCTCTCTCTGTGCAGTCCCTCTCTCTCTCTCACTACGCAGTCCCTCTCTCTCTCTCACACTGTGCAGTCCCTC